CCACTCCCCTCCAGTACTTTCCTCCTCCTCCGAGAGGCCTGCGTGGGACTCGGCCGTGGCCTCGGCCTTCAGTGGCCCGGCGCTGCCCTGCTCGGTCGTGTGGGGCTGGCGGTGAGGCGTGGGCCTGTCTCCGCCATGTCCAGGCCTCGCCCCCTGCCCTGCCAGCTCTGAGCTGTTCTCTGCCAGTGCCCCAGCCTGGAACGGCGTGGAGTCCTCCGCCGGCCCGGCCTTCTGCTGCTTGCGGTGCGGAGGGTGCTTGCCCTGTGCCGGTGGCTCTTTCTTCCGCCTTGGGGCTTCCTCAGCCTTGTGCTTGGGGACCTGGGTGGGCAGCAGCAGCGGGTCACTCGGGGGCTCTGGGTGTCTCTTGAACCGCGGCGCCGTCTCCTTGTGCAAGGGCAACGCGAACGGCACCTTCCCGTAACCGTATTTCCCTGGCTTGATCGACTCTCGAATTCGAGACCTGTAGGTGGGGGGGAGGAAGGGGAGGAGACAGGGCAGTAACAGGCCCTGAATAAACAGAGCACAGAGGAAGCCAGGGATCCTCCTAGGACAGCTGCACCACCCTCTACTGCCCTCTACTGGGTGGCTTCAGGATGGCACATCTTGTGTCATGAGCCCTGTATTGCACACAGCTCAAGGGGATTTTCCCACAAGTTAGGCGGGATGGGGCAGGGCTTTTGGAGTAGGAGGATCTGAGCTCTTGCTCTGCTGCTGCCATGGGGCGTTCCAGGCACCGTCGTCATGGGGCGGTACGGGGCCTTGGTTTTGAGCTGCTGTGGGTGGGTCATGAGCAACACATAACACTGCTTCCTAGCGAGAGTGCACCCCCATTGCTGGCGCGGCCCTGTACCGAGCTCAGTAGGGGCATAGGAGGAAGGAGGGTACAGTGGTTAGTGCTATGGCCTGGGGCGAAGGAGATCCCAGGTTTAGTTCCCAGCTCTTTTTCTCACCCCATCTCACCGTGGACAATCCCTTAGTCATTCTGTGCCTCAGTTTCCCCCTCTGCCCAATGGGGCTTACTGCCCGGCCTTGGGGGGTGCCTTCAAGTTCCCCGGCAGCATGATGATGCAGCCCAGATAAGGCCTGACAGATGCTAGCAAGGGTGAGCTGACTCCATTTCCAAGTGGATTTAGTTGGGGGGGGGGGGGGCAGTGCCACATGGCTAGTGCTGGGGCTGAGGCCAGGGCACAGTTGGTCTCTATGCCCAGATCCAGGAAACGTTGGTGCCTATGGGAATTAGGAGCCAAGCCCACAAGCTGGGAGAGAAGCTTCAGAGCAGAGGCCCGGGGGAGGAATTGCACCAGGACCCCTCCCCCCGCACACCAGTCAGTGGCTGGAGGACAGTGCCCAAGCCAGCGGCCCCCC